CCCCCCCCGTTTGGGTTAGGCACAGCGCCCTACAAGTTCACCAAAGTGATGAAACAGGTAGTGCTGCTGCTTCACCAGATGTGGGTACACCTCAATCCGTACCCAGACTACTGGTTACCAACAACCTGGGCAAGGGGTTAATAGCTAAACGTGTCAGGCTAACGCAGGATTTACTTCACCTGTTGGGCTCATTAGTAAATCAACAAGTCCGACCTGGACCCAACGCGTAGTTGGGCATGGAGTTTTGACACAGAGGTAAGCTTGGCTTAGCTATTTCAAGAGTGTTGCTTAGCGCTAAGCAGCCTAGCCGAATGCCTAGTCAGCGTTCTCTCAGTGTCCCTCTGAGAACTAATGGAATGGAATAATGACCTCGGTTCGAAGGGTCGTTCCCCAGGCCTCACTACACCGCCGCCCGGTATGAAGCTTGTTATAACGCCAAGCTCTCCTATGGGAACTAGATAGACGGGTTTCGATCTCGGACCAAGTGAAGGAGGCCCTGTTGGTCGTCACTAGCCAACCTCAGGCAGGGGGGCCCCCTTGGACCCACTCGCCGCAGGTATGACTCTAGTAACAGATGCCTACCCCAGTGTTGGGGAGTGCATCTATTGGACGAACAAGCCCAAGGATATGGCTCCCGCATTAGTTTCGGGACTACCATATCAACCGACTCGAACTGAGAGCAGTGTACTTAGCACTACCACGCTTTCTACCTGTAGTTCGAGACCACAGAGTCTTGCTCCGCACAGGCAACGCAGCGGTGGTCTCCTTCAAGAAGGAGGGGGGCGCATTCCCCATCGTTGTCAGTCCTAGCGGAGCAAATCCTCCTTTGGTGCCTGGAATACAATGTGGAGCTAACCGCACACCACCTTCCAGGGGTGAGGAACAGTCTGGTGATGCCCTTTCAGGGCGGCTCCGTCTCCAGAACACTGAGTGGCTGATACAGCCTCCAGGCTGTTTGGCTGTGGACGGTCCAAGGTTAGACCAGTTTGCCGCACCCCGGAACACCAAGCTCCCGATGTACGTAACACTCCTGCTGACTCCAGGAGCCTGGGCCAGGGTCGCTTTGCTACCCTGCGGACCCACTTAGTTGTGTACGCCTTCTCTCCCTTTCCGCTAGTTCACCGGGCACTGGAGAAAACTGCGACAGGTGCACACCTGCATATTATCATTGGTCGAACCAAATTGGCCAAGCAAGGCCTAGTATCCACTTCTGTCAGAAACAATAGTCGAAACACCAGCAGGTCTTAACTAGGGTGTTGAGTGATTATTTGTGGAGTGTTTCATCCCAGACTGGGAAAAGACCTTTCATCACTTTTCTGTTTGCTCGGAAAACCCGCCACCTATCGGCGTCTGACTCTGCCTACAGTTCAAAATAGTCATTTTGAGTTGCTGATACAGCCTCCAGGCTGTTTGGCTGTGGACGGTCCAAGGTTAGACCGGTTTGCTGCACCCCGGAACACCAAGCTCCCGACATACGTAACACTCCTGCTGACTCAAGGAGCCTGGGCCAGGGTCGCTTTGCTACCCTGCGGACCCACTTAGTTGTGTACGCCTTTCCTCCCTTCCCGCTAGTTCACCGGGCACCAGAGTAAACTGCGACAGGTGCACACCTGCATATTATCATTGGTCGCATCCAATTGGCCAAGCAAGGCCTAGTTTCCACTTCTGTCGGAAACACCAGCAGTGCTTCTGGACTTGCCGGACTTGCCGTCCCAACCAGACGACGCACTACCAACGAGCCCAGCAAGTATCACTTACACGCATAGAGGCTCTCAGTAGACCCGCACATACAAAAGCCTTATCTGAGCGGGCTGCCAACGTTCTTGCCAGGGCAAACAGGGATCCCACCAACGCGGCCTACATTTCTAGGCTGCGAGCATACACTGGTTGGTGTAGCGGAAGGGAGATTGATCCATATCATCCCTCTATTGGCCAGGTAGCAGGCTCCTTCGTCCACCTGTTTGACGAAGTGGGTTTGTCCTACACAGCGATCATTGGCTACAGGTCGGCCTTGTCCCCCACCATTCAAACGTACAAGAACAAGACTAGCCGATTGTCCTATTATTAGGAGACTATTTACTGCTTTCCAGACACTGAGACCCCATACAAGGAAACCGCCCAACTGGGACTTGTCGGCTGTGTTGTACGCTCTAAGCAGACTGCCCTTTGAGCCTCTCCGATCAGCACCACTCAAATTTTTGACGTGGAAAATAGTCTTCTTACTGGCCCTTGCCTCAGGTAGGCGTCGGCCAGAGCTGGGTGCATTGTCCTTCTCGGATGATGTACTGCCGTTATGGACAATCAAGTTGTGCAAAAGACACGAATCAGGTTTCTCACCTAGAACCAAATCCCAGGACACGATCCTCACCCGATCGTCATCCTCCGGCTGGAGGGTCAGGAGGAATTACTTCTCTGCCCGGTTCGAGCACGGAGTTGCCACCAAACCTTACTAAGGATTTGGGACGGGGTGCCAGGCACATATCTTTGTGTTATGGCCCAAGCAGGCAGGATAGGCCGGCCTCCCCAACTTCCATAACCAGGTGGTTTACTGCGACTGTATTAGAGGTCTATAATATTTTAAATTCCTCGACACAGAGCTTGCAGAGACACCAAGTACGAGCACATGAGGTCTGTGTGATTGCTAACTCGCTAGTGCTAGCGTCAGGCGCCCCCCTTGAGCACACATGGAGGACAGGCTTCTGGAGAACGCAGAACGTCTTTATCCACTACCACCTAAAAGACACCGAATTCATTGTAAAGGGTCTCTCTAGGTTGGGTCCCGTCGTTGGTTTGCTGACCCAGCCCGAACGACCGCAAGGATCCCTGCGCATAGGCAATAAGTCAGTCTCGGCATTTTATGCGGACAGATCTCTCTACCGTCAGCACTCCCCTGGAAGCTCCCAGGTCCCGCTTTGCCGCCTATGCCCTCATGCAGAACAGTTTCGGTCTTTACTTTGAAAGCTTACTACCCCCCAGAATTCGGTTGGGGGTCTAGCTTTCTCGGGCACACCAAACCCTGTCACCGTAGCAGCATTTTGGCTTCTTGCTCCAGGGACAGCACAGGCAAGGTAAAACACCACCCTTTTTTGGGTCTTAACTAGTGTGTTGAGTGATTATTTGTAGAGTGTTTCATCCTGGACTGGGAAAAGACCTTTCATCACTTTTCTGTTTTGCTCGGAAAACCTGCCACCTATCGGCGTCTGACTCTGCCTACAGTTCAAAATAGTCATTTTGGCTGACCGGAGTCTATGGTGGGTATGAACTATGTAAATAGGCGGGTTCGGAGAACCCTCGCCTAAGTTTATTAAAAGTGTGTAATTATGTTAACTACATAAGTTAAGGTAGTCAAATAGTAAAATGAGTCTGCATATATATAATAAATATATAATCCCTCAGAATCCCCCCACCCCCAGACTGAATTCCTCAGTCATGTGAAGTAATTTTGGACTAGTGACTCCCCTTATACCTGTCTTCCACACCTGTAACTTGGAGGTATACAGCCACTATACAGGGAGTCACTTGTCCCTGATGACAACACACTCATTCGGATTATAGTGTATATATATAAAAATCCACATTTTGTGAGTTATATATATAAGGCCATCTCATGACTTGGCATTACTAACATATAGCTTAGTGAATATTTAATGTATTTAACTTTTCTGATCAAAACATTCAAAACTAAGTTTTCTTGTGTTCTGAAATAAATTTTTGTAGAAGGCGAATACTGTAAATGACCATTGCTGGTTGTAGCTTGGATGTATAATTACTGTAAATATCAAGCACCAGTGTTCTCCCCAAAGCGTTTTAGCGTAGCGGGGCCGCTACTCTATTATTTATGCCGCTACTCTGAGAGATTGCCCGCTACTCTGTGGCATTTCCTGTTATTCTTTGTTTTAGCTTGTAAATACACGTGCGAATCTGTTAGTCAGCGTCATCAGCGTCCGGTACTGTGAGCCAAATCAGGTGTGAATGGAAACATGTCAGTGATTACGCGAAGACAATGGACTAATACGGCTTTGTACTTCGACAATAAACACTTTCGCCCTATTTAATTGGGGTAATAGCGAGTATTTTCTCAGTAGCATATTCGGCTGGAAGAAGCAACGATGTCAAACAGCAGAAATATTACATCGTGGTTCCGCGTAGAACGCCCTGCTGGGCCCCTGGTTGCAAGTGATAAACCCACCAGCAACGCGGTCACTGGTACCCCTGTCTACAGTGGTACTAAACGCTGAGAGAAACATCCGATGGCAAAGGTAAAAAAAGTATTTATTTGTAGCGTTTTACTTGGAAGCGTATTTTGACCTAGTTTTGTAAACTTTTGTATGGCTTCATTTTTTGCCGATCGTCGAAACATTTTTTTGGAAACGACTTTCTTTCTGGAAGTTCAAAAATTGTTTGCTATGATTTATCAAAATAACTAATACTAGTATTGTGTTTTGAAATAGTTGGGTAAATTTTATCGTGGCAATTTTTTAGTTTAGCGACTTTTCAAAATGTGTTGATCGTGACGATATTTTTTAAATACAAGTATTGATTCGCTCCTATTTCTTATCTTTTAGGAATGCTGTGTCACATATGTGGAAAATTCAACTTAAAAACATCCAGAAATAGTTTTTTGGTATGGAATTCTATGCCATGTATAAATATTACGAAATATGCTATCAATAAACACGCACACTCGGAGATGCACAAGAAGGCCATGTCATTAGAAGTGGGAAATCACGGCGTTCTCAAAAGCTGCAGATCACTGGGCTTCCATGAAAGTCCAAAGAATCAACATTACATAGAAATCACACAGCAGCAGATTCATTTAATCTTGTACACGGATTTGTTAAAAAATAAAGACACAATTTCATCCATGCAAGCCTGTCATTATTGTTTTCTTTATCTCCAGTCATATGCTAATGATATGTAAAGTATATGCAAATTAGCCGCCACTCTGATACATTTTTCTGGGGAGAACACTGAGCACACTTTTATGTAATATACTCACCATGATACGATAAAGAAAATGATCAGAATCTAATACAAGGTATAATCATATACATTGTATGTAGTTATATCTGTTATGGATTGACCTTTGTGCATACATGTACATTTCTATGCCTGTCCATTTGTTTCATGATCTGATTCAAGGTGGCTGATTGGCTACCATTTTAATGTTAAAAAGGCATCAAAATCAAGCATTTTTCTCATGATGAACCCTGATTTATATAATGGGATCAGAGAGCCAATTGCAAATGGTGTTCATAATCCATGTCCTCGACGAACATTGACTGATTAAATTCAAAGGAAAGACTCATTTAAGTTTTTTTCACTTTATCCAACTCGGACATGAGTTATTCAACCATATACAATGACTATATCATGGACATTGATTTATTCGCTCACTCACTCACTTTTTTTTCAGGCTTACCACATTGAAGACATGATGAAACCCAGTACTTTTATTGCTGCCTCTAATTTGCAGTTTAGACAAAATAGGCATTCACAAGGACCATGTGCTTTTGCTTCTGAATATTCTGTATTCACTGAAAACCCTAAAGCGACTGGCATTAGGATGGCATTCCTAGAATTAAAAGCAGCAATTCAGGTATTGTATGTCATAATTACATTGATACATGAAAGTATTTGCATTAACTTGGTGGAAAAAACACAAATTCACAAACCTGTGCATTGTATGCATTTTTTTGCTCAGAAGTTTGACCAATACTTTTTTAGCAAAACATTTTGGTAAATTTATTCAACAACGAGTAGAAGGTTTTGTATCTCCCCAACACACTTAATGTGCGTACTTCCTGAATAAAAATCAAATGATTTTTAAAAGTTTAAACACTGTTAATTAAATGTATGTACATCAATTTATTTCATAGTCTCATTAGTTTACTATTATCATTTTGCATAACCCATTACTCAATTATCTTGTTCATAATGTCGAAGCATGACAAAGCTTAATGGTGGATATGCATGTAATTTCATAATTACATCATTTTCTATCTGGAAAATTGCGAGGTTCTGGGGGTTGGTTCTCGGAGCTGACTGTTTACTTGGCAGTATAAATAAGATTAAGTCTGTCGTGCCTTTCAAACAAATTTCTATTACAACTGAAAAATGTCAGAAGTAATAGCTATGTCATTTTGCACACACACAAAAAAAAACATTTTACATGACCTTGTGTTACCTAAATTCATGTTTTTGATGCTACTTATTTTCCAGGATCCAAAAGGTTTCATTCAGAGCATGACAAACGTTGGCATGACAATCGATTGTTTCCCAGTGGGAAAAAACACACAATTGCATATTGTGAGAAATGAAAGTAGTGATTATGGAATACAAACTCGCACCTTATCCCCAAGTGTAGCAGTCAGCAGTACAGCATCAAGTGTTTTCTATGGTATGAAATATGATTGTGACATTCAAAGTCCTATAACAGCAACCAGCAGCCGTAGTTATGCAAGATTGAATGTTGATAGCAAGAAAACTGTGAAGACATCTGATGTGTTTACAGAAGATAACCAATCTAGGAGTGCGGATAATAATAGTAGCTCTGTTACACCTAATCAAACAATCACTGGAATAAAGTTGAACTTCAGATGTCAGGATTTTAGTTCTCACTTTCCACAGACCAACTCTCCTGCCAACTATCTTGACCATATCCCATCACCACCACCGATACCACCACTTCCCAGTCCCCTACCTTGTGCTGTCAGGAAGTGTTTCAAACCTCCTCTTAGGACATCATCTAATATCAACCCTGGAACTGAAGGTAGACCACAATCTAAATGTGCTAGTCTTGCCTCTTCTTGGGAGCAAAGTGACAAAGATGAAAAGTCAAATATAGATACTTTTAAAACATCAGTAAAAAAGATGCTGCCGTTGAACAATTTTACAGAAGCCAGTTTATCTCATAACTTAAACAGTGAACAATGTGAGCAACTGCCCATGAAGAATATAACTTGCGAATTGACAGAGTTAGATAAACAGCTTAGTGACAGTGAGGCAAACTTAACTACTGTTAATGACATAGGAAATGATGAAAAAAGTGCCCATTCCGGCAAAGAAGAATGCACTGAATCAGATGCAGAGTTAAAATGTAAAGATACACAGGATGCACTTCTTCTCTTGCATTTATCCAACCTTGATGCTTCATTGTTTTTGGACTCTCCTCCCAAAAGAGTTACAAGATCACAGACTAAAAAACAGCCAGGAACTTGAGGTTTATATATTCCAGGCTGCTTGAAATGTAAATAAAGTTTATGGAACTTTTTTGCTTGGTTTCCGCTCATTGAAGTTCATTATTATTTGTACACTATTAACATGACATCATTCATTGAATTAAAACTGATGAACATGCTGTTTTTGACTCCCATGTGCGAAGCACAAAATGGGAGTCTTTGCAGTTAGTGTGTCTGTATGTGTGTATGTGTGTATGTGTAAGTAAGTAAGTAAGTAATTCTTTATTGCTATCGTATCCCATTTGAGATCTTGACAAAAAGTACAATAAAGTCAAAAACATGTAATAATAAAAAAATGAAAATAAAAGGAAATACTAAAAATACAGTAAATGAATGAAATAAATACACATCTCACAATAAGAGATAAATGAATAATTGTAATATAATGTAAATAAATGTAAATCTGTGTTTTGTGGGTTTTTTTTTTTTTTTTTTTGAGGCAGCTGGTACTGAAGTTATTGTTTGATTTTTTGCTCCCTAAGCATAAAGCAAGTATAAATGTGTTTTGAAATGTCTTTTATGTGTGTATGTGTGTGTGTATGTGTGTATGTGTGTCCGACTGTTCCACTGCTATCTCAAGAACCATACATCGGTTTTTGATGAAACTTGGTGCATAGATGCTCTGGGCCAATGCGCAGATTTGATTAGGTTTTGGTAAAAATCCATGCTCGTTAATTACCTAATTTGCATGATAATTAGCTAATTTTTAGCTGTTCTATGACTGTTCCACTGATATCTAAAGAACCACTCATTGGATTTTGATGAAACTTGGTACATAGATGCTCTGAACATATGCGCAGATTTGATTAATTTTTGGTAAAAATCCGTGCATATTAATTACCTAATTTGCATGATAATTAGCTATTTTTTAGTGGTTCCATGACTGTTCCACTGATATCTAAACAACCACTCATTGGATTTTGATGAAACTTGGTACATAGATGCTCTGAACTAATGCTAGGTTTTGATTAGTTTTTGGTAATAATCCGTGGATACTAATTACCTAATTTGCATAATGATTAGTCAATTTTCGGTTTTTCCACTGATATCTCAAGTACTAATCATCACATTTCAATGAAATTTGGTACATAGATGTCATACGACACTGCACAGACCTGATAGTTTGTATGGTAATATCAGTACATATTAATTACCTAATTTGCATAATTAATTAATTTTCAGCATTTGATATAAGTAGTTAGCATTACATTTCAATGAAACTTGGTACTTACATACTCAAGGACTATGCAGAGATTGATTGTTTTCGATAAATATTTGTGCATATTAATCACCTAATTTGCATAATTAGTTAATTTTCAGCTTTTCCACGGGTATCTCAAGTACTAATCATCGCATTTCAATGAAACTTGGTACATAGATCCTTTAGGACTATGCAGAGACCTGATTAGTTTTAGGGTAAATAATTGTGCATATTAATTACCTAATTTGCATAATTAATTTTCAGCTTTTCTACTGATATCTAAAGTACTAATCATCATATTTCAATGAATCTAGAATTATGCAGACCCAATTAGTTTCCGGTAAATATTTGTGCATATTAATCACCTAATTTGCATAATTAACCAACTTTCACACTGATATCTCAGGTACTATACATCACATATCAATGAATGTACATGGATGCTGTAGGACA